CGGCGGAGAGGGACAGAGAGCGAGAGAGAAGGAAAGAGAAAGGGTGAAGGGCGCACCTGCGCGCTGGCCGCCTGCTCCCGCGCCGCCTCCTCCCTGGAGCGGCGCTCGGCGTCGCGCACGGCCAGGGCCTCCGCGCGCAGCGTCGCCGCCGTCGCCTCCGCCTCGGCCAGCCGCTCCTCCGCCGACGCCTTCTCGCCGCGCAGCCGCTCCATCTGCGCGCGCAGCCGCGACGTCTCCTCGCGCAGGCTGCCGGCTTCCAGCTCCAGCGTCTGCAGCCTGCGCACGCAAAGGTTCGCAGACGTTGCGATTTTACTGACATCGGGGCGTTCGGCTAGGATCTTCACAGCAAGAGCTACAGAGCTTCTTAGGGAAGAAACGAGTGCTCAAATCATCCTAGGAGAGCACAGGGTCTTTTCTAAATTCCCATCGCATTCTCTGACAAAGGAAAATCATTACTTGAAAACCAAGGTGCAACTATCGTAATAAAATACATTTAATAACATTTCGAAGAGAAGCCAAATTTAATACAATTAATTTCACCGAAAAAAAAAGAACCGTTGGAGTATACAAGATCCATGATACTGTAACAAGTTTCTTTGTTACAATATCATGGATCTGAAATACTCCAATGTTTTTTTTGGGTGTTGTAACCACAATAGATGAAACTATGAGCACAAACATGATATACGCATCGAAAGGATTCGTGACAGTTAAAAACTGTCTTTAACGCAACGGTCACACGATGGAAACGCATTCGCTTTATGCGGGATTCAGCCCACTGCGTAGCTCCCGGGTGGAGCGATTTGCCGCCGCAGTTCACCGCTTCATTGGGTCAGCTAACACAACATTCAAGATCAAATCCGTCGAAAGTAACTCACTTGACAGTCCGGGTGGTAACGAAAGATGCGTCTCTTTTGGACGCCGACGGGGAACTGGTGTGACTGACTGGCACATTGCTGTGATTTGCGTTGCTCGTTGAGATAACGTCAGCTAAATAGACATTGCCTGACTGACAATTCCTGACTTTATCGTCGAACGACCGTGCGCCACTTCATTGCAAGTTGTTTTCATAATTATCAACCCCTGCTTGACGTTATTTAACTTGATTTTTAGCAACTTACCAGTAAAATTATTCGACTGTTGTGAAATGCATAATATTGTTTAATCTTGATGATGTAAAGGATGTAAACGGAGAGCTGTCCCAACTGAATATTGAAATCCCTTATTAGAACTTGTGCTGTTAGGAATTTATTGAATACTTGCGAGTACACGAAACAAGTGTTGCAAAAAATTCCGTTTTATTTTTTTTGACCCTCTGTTATTGCGATGAAGAGTAAACCACCAAGAAGAAGAAGAAAAGTCGCTCCAATTTTGTGAAGGGTTTTAACACTACGAAGTTTACAACCGAGTAAGATAAATGAAATCGTTTATTCGAAATACCGATTTCTCTACGATATGACTACGATACTTTCTTGTGATACATATTGCGAAAATAAGAGAAAAAAATCATTACGGTATATATGAATACATGACATGACAACAGGACTCGACCCACAATCATTCACCGGTTCCCTCTCTCGATATGTCTCACGACAAAAATGATAAATGCTCGCTTCTCTTCCAAATACGCACGGTAGCAACCAACATCGAGTGGAAGAGACAAGATTTAAGAACAAATAACACAAAGAGAACAAAAATTGTAACATATATTGTACTTCAGCTTCTGGGCCAATGACCCCCATCTCGATCATGTTTTCGTCTAGTTTGCCTGATCCTTGAACAAATGATGAGATGGCTCCTCGTCTTACTTCTGGACATAATGTTGGATAAATTGGTCTGGACAAATTAACTTCTCCCCATAGCACGTCATACACAATTTTTAACCGTCTTTGACGTAAATAAAGAAATAAATAAGAATCTATGATGAACGATCCACGGCCAGCTACTTTATTTGATACCTAATTAAAATAATTTTGCTGATCGCTCATGATTAAAATCGCAACATGATCGAAACATGATTAAAATCGCAAAAACCATTGCGTTGTGAATTACATTGCACTTCCTCTAAATGTCAGTTATCAATATTTTGAATTTGTTGACAAGCAATTAAAAATACTGAATTTACGCAAAGCAATATAACTTCTATCATTAATAACTTTTATATTAACTACGCTTATAGCACAACGGAAAGGATACTTTGCTGAGCAATTGAATCGGTTATTCGGAAACGGCCTCATTTCCAACAGCTGTTCAGTAGTTGGAAAACGTTTTTCGGGAGAAAAGGCCTATTAAGAGCCAACAGAGAACCGAAACTGCTTATACTATTATTAAAGAATAGTGGATGCACGTAACAAAGCTAAAAGAGTAATCCAAATCAAATGGCGAGCGTAATAGACGAGGTCGTAGAGGAGCACGATTATCCAAAACCTTTCGGACACGGTTTCTCTTTTGATTCTTAATTATGATGCCTTAATGTAAGTAAAAGTGCAGGGTGTCACCAAATGTGATAGTGCTCATCTTGAAACGCCAAGCCCTAGTTCTATCTTTTTGCTTTTGCACTTAAAAGATAATAAAGTATTCGTTAAGAAATGTTATGTCATACTGTTTTGTTTCTTGTACCTCCTTTTACGTTAATGTGCATTTTAGAAACGCGTTAAGTGAAAAGTTATTCTGTAGATATAAGCAGAGCCATTTCAAGATTTTTTTTTTTGGAAACGTGGTCCATGCGACCCTCTTATTCATATTTTTTAATTTTTTTTACAGAAATTAATTTTGATGACAAGCTCCACTTTCCTCAAAGGAACTTCGTGAACTTGTAGGTTTGTACAAATAGTTTCTGAGAAATAGGGGTTTGTTTGACCCTGGCCAAACGACTATTACATTTTCCCAAATTTTTAGTTTTCATTTGACGGGTGGTTGTGTTTTATATCGAACAACAATCCAGGGGCAGATCCTCAGAAAAAATTTGAGATGAGGAATTAAAAACGTTTAAGTTTGATGCGTCATTACAAATTTTGTAAAACGTCGCAGGCTACACTCGGCTCATGCTGCAATACGATTTTATTCGTTTTTTTTTAAATACCCGAAAACAGTTTTACTGGAAATTTCGTGACAAGTTAAAATTAATAGTTACAGCAAAAGTTTCGTGGGGGGGGGGGATCTCATTCATTTCCTTCCCCGTGGAGCCGCGCCTGAATACTTCCGTTTCACAATACTTTGAAAAGAGCCGCGAAGCTTCTCTCCCGGATCCGCCACCGCGTCCGTTCTGCATTCGACGCCGTCTACTCACCGGATGCTGTAGTTCTCGACGTGCAGCTCCTTCTCGCGATCGACGCGTGCCATCATCTCGCGGTGGCGCCGCTGCTCCTCCTGCAGCCGCTCCTCCGCGCGCAGCTCCGCCTCGCGCAGCTGCTCCTCCAGCATGTGCACCCTGCGCAGCGCCCGCCGGGGTCAGCGCGGCTTGCGCCCTCCGCCTCACACCCGACCACGACGTGCTTACCCCTTCCAGTGGGTCTACCCGGTTTACCCGACAACGACGTGCGTACCCCTTCCAGTGGGTCTACCCGGTTTACCCGACCACGACGTGCTTACCCCTTCCAGTGGGTCTACCCGGTTTACCCGAGCGGGCAGTTTACTCCCGTACCATTTTACCCGTCAGCCCACTTTTACCCCGCACTGTTTTACCTCGCTTGAGTAGTTTTACCCCTACTCTCTTACCCGTTCAAACTGTTTTACCCCTACCGTTTCACCTGTCTGGACTGTTTACCCTTACCCTTTCACCTGACCCAACAGTTTACCCCAACCGGACTGGACAATCGGTTTGATTCAACCGGTCTTGTCACTCTTACCGTTTTATCTAACTGAACTGTTTTACCCTGTAATCCTATCATTTTACCCGACCGGAGTGTTTCACCCTGTACCCCCTTTTTACCCGACCGGGCAGTTTACCCCTGTGCCGTTTTACCCGTCAGCCCACTTTTACCCCGCCTGAGTAGTATTACCCATACCCTTTTACCCGTTCGGATGGTTTTACCCCTACCCTTTTACCTGACCCAACTGTTTACCCCTACCGTTTTATCCAACCGGACTGTTCACTCTTACCGTTTTATCCGACTGAACTGTTTCACCCTGTAACCCTCTCGCTTTACCCGACTGAAGTGTTTCACCTCGTACCTCTTACCGTTTTTCCCGTGCAGATACCTTTACAACTCAGTTTACACGTCCGGTTAGCTTTACAAGTACCAATATCACCTATCCAGGTACTTTTATCAATACTTTTGTTGCGGCTAAAGACCAAACCATGGCTAATCGTTGAGTTGACTGTGAGTTGCCCTGTTAATTAGCTTATTAGGCAGAATGTCAGAATAAAGCTGAATGAATGATGAACGTACCATTTTGGACTTCATCCAGCTAATGTTGATGTTAGTCACAAGGCACCGTCTGAAGTAAGATGATTGTCCGAGTGTGAGGCGTGTCGCGTCGGTGCAAGCAGTATTTGGGCACGCTTTGAAAAATGTATGCTTTGTGCAGACTCGAGGTTGTTTTATGTAAATAGCAAAGGCCGGAGCCAACACGGAAATGCGTAGCAAAGCGTCAATAGAATATAATAATGAAGACAGATTAAGTCTGTACATAAAAATTTTCGACCAATACTGTGGATCTCGAAATTACACAACTTGTCCCTCGCTAGCTAGGCCCATTCACAATGCAAAAACGTAAACATAAGCATAACGCATAGGCGTAAACATTAACATAAGTGATATACTCAAGTATTCACAATGTGTAACATAAACGTAAGCAAAATAACAGTTTCTATTGGCTGTGAGACATACTAGTTTACTATTGATTGGATGAGAGAATCAATTTCGAGGTATCGACTGTGTCCATGGCCCATATGGCGTTAGTTAGTCTATTGATTTCACTCCTATTTTGATTCTCGATTTGAGTTACCGTACTGTGATTTGTTTATTTCTTATGTCTTACTTAACCATATGCACAGAAGCTTGAAGCTTGAAAGCTTTTAAGTTAACGTCTTAAGCGTTATGATTGTCCGAACGTATTGTGAATAGTCTGCTTGTGGACGTAGTCCTAAATTTTATGTTAACGCCATGCTTATGTTTATGTTTGCAAATGTGAATGGGCCTTTAGAAACTTCCCACAAGCAGTCTGATCCCTGTTGATGCATCTCTCCTATTCCTCTCTGATCCAGGAATTAGTCAGATTCAGACTTTAGCCGTAACACCGTTTCATTTATCCGTGTACTTTTATCAAAACCATTGACCCGCCCGGGTATCCACCCATCTGAGTATTCACCTTCCCGGTCTCATAAACGTCTGTCACAACACAACGGAGACAGCCGTCATCAACGTTGTCCTGGCAACAGGAGATTCTCTTCAGGGCGGATTGTAATTGATATGACCGTATCCCAATTATCTTAAACGTGACTCAACTCAACTTCTAGTGGATGGTTTTGGTAAAGCCGTGAACGTGAAGTTGTTCGATTAAGAACGGAACTCTGTCAACCAGGTGGGATAAATTGGCACGTAAAATGTAGGAGATTCTCTCTGCCTTCTACTTCGTAAGCGCTTCGATTAACTCTACGCCCAACCCTCTGAGCATTTTATAGAAGAAAAATAGTCAAGAAACCTGTGTAGAGACGAAGAGGTTCTCAGCAAAATGACAAACATTTGTTCATTTAACCGAGGAGAATACGGTGATGTGTTTTTCCCTCACTTCAGATGACTCTCTTTGTATTTAATGAAACAAGTTTTGATTTCGGCCTCACCATTGAAACTGGTTTTCATGGTTAAGATTTCGCTCGGGTGCCTTTATTTTACCCCAAACTGCTCGACCTACCTGGCCTGCAGAGCGGCGCTGTCCTGCTTGGCCCGCGTGTAGCGGTCGTCAGTGTTCGTCTGGTTGTCCGCCAGGACGCTCACTTGCTGCTGCAGCAGCTGCACCTGAAACCCGAGAAACGACGATTCAGTCGGGTGCTGACACTTCGGATGACTGCGCAAAAGCAGTTTACTGTACTTCTGTCATGGATATGTCTTCTTGTAGCGAGTGTTGAGGCATGTTAAGTGTCGTAAAGAGCCTGTAGATGGGACGTAAAATTGAGGATAAAAAGCAAACTGGACAACAATTGAAAAAAATAATTAGAAACATTTTTCATATTTTGTGTTTTGCATAAATGTCAAATGCAATAGCACGATACAAACTCATGAGAATATATGTTCCAAACATATTATTCAAGAACCCTTTCAGAGTTGGTTTTATATAATTTCAATCGTGTAGTATGTATTCTTGAAAGAAGCGTCAACGATTACCAGCAATGTCCGAGCCTAATTATCCTAAAGGAATAGTAAAATTATCTTCCTCTCGGTTCATTTTGCATGCATTGGTACGTGATTAGTACGGAGCGGAATTTATTGTATTAAAAAAAGGCTCATTATTCTATGTATGTATGTATGTATTCATTTTCTCCAAACTATATAAGAAAAAATAGAAAATTTTACGAATTTTAAAAATTATCTAGTGTTTGAAACTGCTCCGTACAAATATTTTCCAAACAAAGAACTTCGCCTATTAATACATTCTTAGTACTGTTGATGCTTACGAGGAGAATGTTGTGAATCGTGTGCCGGTACTCAAGTACCTTGTAGCCAATGATGGATTCGGGGTGAGATGTGAAGGAAATACACTCCTCCCCGAATTCAACAATGCGATAAGACGTAAACAAATATTTGTTAGTTTTCGATCGAGTTACAAATGGTCTCTTTGAAACATGAGCAAAGCACTTGGTTGAAATTCTTTCTGCTTCACAAACATCCGCTCATCCTTGATCCCGAGAACATGGTTTGGAAGAAGTTTGACTATTCATAGCGAAGATACGGATGTCATAGAAGCGCAGTAGTGCTTTGAAAGAAAGACGATTCCAGAAACGTATATTGCAAACCGTTTCGACGTATAATGATATTAAAATGCAACAACATATGATAATTATGTAGTAATAGGTAAAATATGTATAATGCAAATGGTTCTGCTTCATTCAGAATGTCTTGAAAATTCTAAAAAATAAAAAAAAAAATTGAATATATGTAAATATCTTGTTCCAGTAAAAAATGTTTTGGTACGTAGGGATTTGTCTCGCTACCGCGCAGGCGGTGATTTCTGAACCATATTTAATGACATTTCACACTAATTGGGGGGGGGGGGGAAATTCAGATCTGTCATTCGGGCGATGTTCATCGAAGTAGCTGTGCGAGCTTCAAGTCTGCTTCCCCAATGACAGCAAATATTGGTCTGCCTCGTCACGTCTTCGCGGCCGTTGCAAACACACGGACGGTCGCAACGAGCCTCGCACGACATATTCGCACGCCGGCGGTGACTCACCGCGTCATTGCCGGCGGCGGCGGCTCGGCGGAAGCGAGGAAGCGAGTGCGTCGCTACGTCGTCGCGATAGGCGAACACGCAACGGCTTTTCCACGGCAAGCGCGCGTGCGCGAAGTGCCGTAAACACCTTTTGCGATAAACTTCGTCGTTTCAGCCACCGTGGATCGATCACACATCATTCACTCGAGGCGGTCGAGTTCGCGTTCACCTCATTGTTTGTTATCCCAGACGTGAATCCAAGCCGCGAGGCGCGGAAACGAAAAAGCAATATAGTATAGAGATAGATAGATTTATAATTTCTGCAGGTAGGTACACAACCTGGTGGCAGAACACTACAATTTACATATTACAACTAAGAATAGTAATACACTGTAATTTTAACGCATTTTAAGACAATAACAACAATATAATAATAACAGCATTACCACTACACTTTATGACTGTCCTGCACGGAACATTGACTTGAAACAAATGAAATTAATGAAATATACAGACAAATATTTGTAACTTATTACCTTCAACAAATTAATTAAAAAATTGCGACCTAAAATTCCGAGGAAGTGATACTTTCATCCTCGCCGCACCATTTCCCACACCTGTGATGACCATGATAGCGGTAACCATTGTTGCAAATGTTGCGAAGTAACGTAAGAAATGAACTGTTGATCCGAGAGTTTTGGCCGCAATAATATTGAATACGATTGCAGGCGCAACGACTACTTTAACATGCCAATGTTCTCTGTAATTCAAACTTTTGGAAATACCAATTCAATTGGTTCAAAGAAAAAATATGAGATGTATTTCTGTGGATCATTGATAATAGAATGGTGTCCGAAAACTAAAGTAGGCGTTTAGAATTATTGCTTTTCTAGAATATGTTAGCAGTATTTATATTTAACTAAAAAATAGTTAAAATGCATGTGACGTATGGGGCAGAAATATAATATCCTGCAAAAATCAGATTTGCTACGCCTAGATCTAGATTTCATACACACCAGATCATGCACAGCAGTTGAAGACCGTCTATATTGGTCAGCA